TACCAGCCAAGAAAGTAAACATGCATTTTGTCAGGTGTCAGTTTTCATTCATATATTGAAAGTATCATTTTCTAACCCTCTTATGGTCTATATTTCTTCTCCCCGCAAAAACTTTTTAAGCATTTAGAATGTCATATAAAATATCTGGTTAAGATCAGTACAGGTATCACAAAGAAATGCTCTGATTTGCAACTATACATGTACGAACATGTGTAGTGGTGCTAGTAAAAGATGCAGTCGTCACAAATTTATTTTTTTTTTTTTGCTGCCATATCTTTTCAGGATGTAAGACAGTTGTTCCCAAACAGTGCAGCACGCCTCATAGGTGTGGTGGAAGAGGATAGCAGGTGAGGTAGAATGATAATCAAAGATTTAGAAACAGTTTCAAAAAATTAATGCGCCAAAAATAAATAGGATTTCAAAATTTAAAATATTATTATGTATTACTTGTAATTACATGCATGAGTCCCAGTTTTAATAGTTATGTAGTGAACGAGATAATCAAGTACCCCGGAAAAAAGTTTGTGTTTTTGTGCGATCTGCGGGGAGGGATTATAAAAAAAGTAGTCAGCAAAACTCTTATAGCGACTTACCTCGTCAACCCAAGCGAAAAAGAAACAAGTTCGTTCAGGAGTCGCTATAAGAGTGTATTAATATGCAAATTACGGAGCATCCTATCCCGGCTGTTGATTTGAATGGAAAAAATAGGTTCTGCCGATAAAAGCAGTTGGTGTTGTCGACTCGAGAGGAAAATTCGGGCAGTTTTGGCTACGGCGTTTCGTGAGTTATTTTCCTGACGTGTTACAAGTGATTTTCTTTCTTTGTGTGGTGAAAGCCACAAATTTGCTTTTGAGAACGCTTACTCTTCAAGCTATTTCGGTGTTTACTTTGTCTCTCGCAAGATGGCGGAAAGACCGTTCGATATAAAACTGATCCCGAATTCAGTGGTGATACTAGTGGACAGTCTGTGGTTGAATGGATCGAAAAGGTGGAACTGGTCTGCGAATTATGCGAGATATCGAAGATTGATCGGATTCTTCCTCTGCGATTGAATGGCGGTGCCCTTTGCTGTGTATAGGCAGCTGAGTAAAGAACAGAAAAGCGACATTGAGCAAATAAAGCACGCTCTACTAACCGCGTTTGGAACTGACCGGTTCGTGGCGTACGACCAGTTCAAGCACGGCGTCTGCGACCTGGCGAGACAGTAAAATATATTTGGCAGAATTAAAGAAGCTCGCCGTTCCAATCGCACCGCTTCCTGAAGAATGGATGACATGTGCCTTCGTTTCTGGATTGCCCAGTCATGTTAAGCAGATACTCCGCGATCGTCCAGAATGGAAGGCCTGACGCTCAATCAATTGTTGACCAGAGCCCGTGCTGTCATGATCGACGAAAAAAGAGGCTGATGAACCAGTGGCGAAAGTTATTCAACCAATTGAAGTCAAAGAAGGTCCGACCCCAGCCATTCGTCACCATGGCGTTGCCACCTGCTGTCGGTGCTCTGGGCCGAATCGTTTTGCCAGGGACTGCCGCTGTCGGCGCGAGGAGGTGCGCAGCGGGTCGGCGCGAAGGGCACGTCTCGATCTACGATGCTTTCAATGTCAGAAAGTAGGTCATGTTGCCTCTGGGTGCCCGGGAGGTGGAATGGGGGACGCGACGTCGGCGCCGGTCTCTTCCCCGCACCTGAGCATGAAGGTGGCGCTCCCTGTGATTGAGGTGCGCATCAATGGAATAACGCGTACCGCTTTGGTGGATTCGGGCTGCTCTCGGTCACTCACCAACGGTTCGATTTGCCGACAGTGGAGCAGACAAAGGATGGACGTACTAACGGCTGATGGAAAGGCTCTCAGAGGCCGGGGAGTTGGAAACATTGGACTTAGCGTTAACGGCGGTGGCCCTGTCGCAGTCGGTGTGTTGGTCGTGGACAGCGCGTTGTTGGGTTTCGGTCTGCTCCTTGGGATGGACGTTGTTAGGGAGCTGGGTGGCGTACGCATTACAGAGGCAGGCGAAGTCAAGTTTTCTGATCCGCCCATCTGTGCTACTTTGAAGATCAACGAGCCCGACTTTGGCGCAGAGTTCGACCAAAGGACGAAGACATGGACAGCATTTTGGAGATGGTCGGAGGATGGCCCACCGGAAAAGCTCCAGAACCGAGTGTCAGAATATTCGGTGCCCGAACGCGTCAAGGAAGAATACCAGCGCGGATTGCAGGTGTGGCTGGATAACGGATGGCTGGCTCCGTATCCCGAGGAAGAGCTTGGTCCTCCAGGGGGCCTCATCCCGTTGATGGCCGTGGTACAAAAGAACAAGGGAAAGGTGCGCCCTGTACTAGATTATAGAGAACTGAACGAACATGTAGACACATACACAGCTCATGCTGATGTGTGTGCACAAAATTGAGAGAATGGCGAACGAAGGGATCCAATGTCTCTGTGATTGACTTTTTGAAAGGCCTACTTGCAAATACGCGTGCACCGGTCACTGTGGCCATTTCAGACGGTGATTCTTAATGGGACGAGGTACTGCTTAACCCGAATGGGATTCGGACTCAATGTGGCGCCGGCCATCATGAAAGCCATCGTGGATGCTGTGCTATCCCAGGATGAGACAATTCGTCAAGCGACGTCAGCCTACATTGACGACATCTACATCAACGAAACCTTAGTACCTGCTTCACGGGTGAGAAAGCATCTTGCTGACTTTGGGCTCAAATGTAAAAACCCAGAATGACTCGAGGATGGTGCTCAGCTTGCAGGTCTGGGGGGAGCACAACATGCTTTACTGGAAACGTGGAAGCGAGCTCCCGGACATTCCCAAATACATGACCCGACGCAGCGTGTTTTCGTTATGTGGAGGGCTGGTGGGACATTTTCCGTGGGCGGGTGGATCCGCATTGCAACTGCATTTATTAAACGTGGGGTGACTGCTGTCACTTCCGGTTGGGATGACACAACCAATGATGCTCCCCATAGACACATGATAGGGAAGTCATTACTAGGGTGCGTCAAGACGACCCGTGACGTGGTAAATGGTGCGTTGACGGATGTGAATTTAACGTCTGGGTCGACGCGAGCTCCCTTGCAACAGGAGTGTCTCTTGAAGTAGGTGACACTGTCGTGGAAGATGCGTGTTGGTTGCGTCCGAGAAGGATATGCAACATATCAACCTGTCAGAATTAGACGCCGTTATCAGGGGAGTCACCATGCCCTTCAATGGAATGCAAAGGTATTGCATTTATTCACAGATTCCGCATGCGTGTATAAGTGGATAGCAGACACTCTTACGGGGAAGGCTAGGATACGTTACAAAGGCTGCGAGCGAGATGCTCATTCGAAGGAGGCTAGACACACTGGGAAAGTTGGTAAGTGAATACCACTTATCCGTAGACATACAGCTGGTCAGATCACAGCAGAACAAGGCCGATACTTTAACAAGGGTACCCCAAAAATGGCTTGACGCTATTAAGAAAGAGGTAGAGCCGGTAGAACATGTCTGTGTAACATCAACGAGCAACTATAACTCAGATTTACTAAAATCTGTGCATTGCCAAAGCGGACATCCCGGTGTAAAACGGACCTTATATTTCGTGAGGCAGATTGATCCTCCGTATCCAAAGCTGCTGTCAGGGCAGTGGTCAGAGAATGCATGGAGTGTCAGTCCATCGACCCAGCACCTGTGCAATGGCAAAAAGGACAAGTGAGTGTAAGCAAGGTGTGGCACCGTGTTGGAATGGACATCACCCATTATAACGGACATCACTATTTAACCCTGATTGATTGTGGCCCAACCCAGTTCACTATTTGGCGGCGTCTGCGTCGACAGGATTCCGCAAGCGTCATTGACCACTTGGGGTCATTGTTCTTTGAACGTGGACCTCCGATGGAACTCCTCACTGACAACGACACTGCATTCCGCAGTGAACTATTCAAAGATTTTGTGGCTTCGTGGGGAGTACACCTCAGATTTTCGCTGCGCGTATGTCCCATCAGGGAATGGCATAATCGAGCGATGTCATCGAGCATCAAAAGAATCGCTGCTAGGAAGCAGTGTTCCATAATGGAGGCGGTGTATTGGTACAATGTTACTCCGAGAGACAATAATGTATCGCCCTCAACTGCGCCAGCCAACATGATTTATCAGTATAAAGTCCGCTACGAGGCATTGACGCAACGCGTTCAACTGAACAGATAAACGAACGAGCGCCGTATGACTTGGGCGATCGCGTGTGGGTGAAATCTCCACATAGCCGGTGTACAACCCGGTACCGGGTGGGGCATGTCACTGGACTAAGTAACTCGTGCTGGTTGATGGCATACCAAGACACATAAAGGACTTGCGTCACTATGTAGGTACAGATACGTCAACAAGTGACACTAGCAGTGAGTGCTCAGAAAGTGAACAAATAATTACCATCGGAGGTAGGGCTAGCACCCCTTCAGATGGTGAAGACTCTGTGCGTGAGGTTGTCAGACCAGAAGAATCCTCAGAAGAAGAATCTTCAGAACATTCTTCAGATGATGAAGACTCTGCGCATGAGGTTGTCAGATCAGAAGAAACCTCAGAATATAACACACAATCTCCTCCCACAGTTGCCCGCTCCGAGAAGCTTAAGAATAAAGAGGCCCGCCCATGAGTGTCACTTATGTGACAGGGGGGTGTAGTGAACGAGATAATCAAGTACCCCGGAAAAAAGTTCGTGTTTTGTGTGCGATCTGCTGGGGAGGGATTGCCAAAAAAGTAGTCAGCAAAACTCTTATAGCGACTTACCTCGTCAACCCAAGCGAAAAGAAACAAGTTCGGTCAGAGGAGTCGCTATAAGAGTGTATTAATATGCAAATTACGGAGCATCCTATCCCGGCTGTCGACGAATGGAAAAAATAGGTTCTGCCGATAATAAAAGCAGTTGGTGTTGTCGACAAAAGAGAAAAATTCGGGCAGTTTTGGCTACTTGGCGTTCGTGAGTTATTTTCCTGACGTGTTACAAGTGATTTTCTTTCTTTGTGTGGTGAAAGCCACAAATTTGCTTTGAGAACGCTTACTTCAAGTTATAAATAATTATTGACCAATTTTATCATTGTGATATTATATCAAGTATTAAGAATATAATAACTAGGGTCCACAAATTGGAGGAGAGAGTTATCAATGATAATGTTCTGAGTTTGATTATCTCTCTTTAATCCTCTCTCTGTTTTTTTTTTCATTTTTAAATGTAATTTTTATCACATAAAATTTGGTGAAGCATGCCAGACGAAAAGTTTGGGAACCAGTAATGTAAGGGATCATGACTATAGATTTTTTCTTTATTAGTTTCAAATTGCCATGCTTTCTTGGGAAAGATAGCGGAATAGTTTCTTGCTGCCTTCTCCACAGATTAAAATAGAGAATTTTCCTTTGACTGTTTGCCACCCAAGGTTAGACATCGCAATCTATGTCTGCAATTTGACTCCTAGCTGAGAGGAGAACAGATAGAGTCATTCTGCTCTGGAGAGCATTTCTGCAAAAGTCAATGCAACGAACTAAGCCAGAATTTTAAATCTGCTTACTACGTCCACTTTCCGTTCTGATATTCATTACACTAACCACACATCCTTTCTCACAAGTAGGTTCCCTAGGGTGATGGGGTATATGCTCTTTTATAGCACAGTCCTACTCCCTATCTAAATGATGATAAAAACAACTACTTTGTATGCATAGATTTGTATCGAGAGAGGATATGGTTTTTGTAGTCATTTCATTTCTGTGGAGCTTTTAACACTTTTCTCTGTGAAAACTTCCAAATTATTGCTGATAAAGATGCAAGAAGAAAATGTCTTTTTTTAATCATTTCACCACAAGCAAGACAATAAAGCCACTAAGACGCAAAGAGTTACTGAGTGCGGGGAATATGAGAAACAAAAACATTATTATCAAGGGGAGAGAACATTAAAAGAACAGGAATTAAGAAGATAACAACTGACATTGTATTTAAATTTACTTAGTTTCTGTGACAATAAGAACACATATACAGGAAAGAAAAAAAAAGAAGGTATACCTGGTTTGGTCGTTAGCAACTGCTTGTAATGTTTCAAGGAATTTTCGTAGTCATTCCTGCTGAAACTTAAGTCGGCCAACATCTAAAACAGTAAAGAAATTAATAACATGTCTAATTATAATTGTACTAGTTATCATCTTATAGAGAGTCATTTTCAAACTCACTTTTTTCAGAGTGTTTTTTAGCCAAATAAAAGAAGACTTTTATTACTAATGTCTGGCTGGTATTTCTTTTCATCATAATTTTATTTGCCTTCCATTGCAACTACTCAGATTGTCATTCTTTGGTCATTAGTAAATATTTCAGATCAGAATAAGCATTCAGTGACATTGCATTTGCTTTTTTTTTTTTGTTTTTTTTTTGCATCTCTTAGCACAACTGCCTGCCTTACTGCTTAAGCTGTACAACCTGAAGTGTTGTGAGGATTTATTGATTCAGGTTTTTACAGCTTGTCAACCTTTTGTGGGTTAAAACCAAAACATATTTTGGATTGAAAGAATTTTTTTTTTTTTTTGTAAATGAATATTGCATTAATAATTTATTTGAAAATAACAATGATTTTTCCAGATACAAGTCTTACTATTTAACCCATAGGTTTCCCAGGGATATTTCAGATAAAAAGCAACTAAAATGAACACAAAAGAAATATTAGCCAAAAATTAATAGTGTCAACTGACAAAAGTTCAAATTAGTCATACCAATGTTCTCCGTGGTGTTGTTTTTATAACAAAATTTTGGTTGATGTGTTCTTCAGACTTCTTCAGGTGTATAAAGCATCAAGTAATCTTTGAATGTCATTTCAGTGTGTTTGTGTTTTAATTCTTACCATATATCCAACAAGAACAAGTCATAAATCATTGCCTCAAGACATGGAAAGGAAACTAGAAAAGCTCCTACAGAAGGTAACAAAGGAAAGTGTGAAGAAAGGACTAAGTATAAACTACAAGAAGACAGAATGCATAGTGATCAGCAAAAGGATGAGCCCAAAATGCAAATTACAAATTGGTGATGCTAAAATCAAACAAAGAGAAAAATTTAAATATCTGGGAAATATTCTAAAAGAGGACTGAGATACAAAGACATATTGGAATGGCCAAAGATGCATTCCAAAAGTTAAGCAGAGTATTAAGAGACAAAAATAAGTTGTTAGAAACAAAGAAAAGAGTACTGAACAGTTACATGATATCTGTCCTCCTGTATGGCGGCAAATTCGGGGCAATCTCCTCAAAGATGAATAAACTTGAAGCAACAGAAATGTGGTTCTACAGAAAGATGCTGAGGGTACCATGGACCGGATTTCAATTTTTCAATTTGATACTCACAGGACAGATTGAGGGAAAGAGAGACAGAGGAACATGGGCTTGAGTAAATAGATGGTAGAACAGGGTCTGTGAGAAATAACAAAATGATAAAACTTATTAAGAGCTACAAGGGACAGGAAGATGTGGAGGGCCATGATCGCTTATGTCCTGAAGGGACACAGCACATAAAAGTGGAAGAATATAGCCTCAAATACATTGATTGCAATTATTTACATTCTTCAGATTGTTGTCCTCATCTTTTTTTGGCATATTCATTCCTTGAGGACACATGGCACATTGGATAAAAGTGTTGACTGGATCCAGTGACTTGACACAAAGAGTTGTGAGTTCAATACCTAGCTACTGCAGTGGTTAACAAAAACTTAAACTGATGAGTTAAAGGGAGGTAACCGAGACATCTGGAAGAAGTATGGCATGTGGAAGTAGAACAATCTACCCCAGTGCCCAAAATAAAGGGTTAGTAGGAAATTTTCTCTGATATGCAGAAACGATAGATAGAAAAAAAAAAGCTCTTCCTCTTGTCCTTTCCTCTCCACTGTCCTTCACTTGCTGACACCATTTGCAAAGGAAAAGCAAAATCTTCCCACCCATCATTCTTTCCAGTTTTTATACAACCACCACTCACCCATAATGCATTGGCACTTCCCTCTATGAGTGTTATTTCCACTTTCCTAGCTTTTCCGCTTCTGTTGTTGGTAAGTTTTCACTTTTTTTGTTTTCTTTCTCTCATCTCTTTACCCCATTGAAGAAGGCCAGAGTGTACAACAGATGAAACATTGTGAATATGGCAAAAAAGATGAGGACAACAGTCTGAAGAATGTAAACTATGTAAATAATTACAATACCTCATCTGAGAAATATAGACAGACATTGATTGCAAATGAAAATTACATTACCCGCCTAAGATCCAACGATTTTATCATGATGTCAGAATGATTTATGGCATTTTATAAAAATAAGTAATATTCAACGTCAAGCTTCTAACATTAGAAGCTATTTGCTGCAACTAGTTTTTAGCCACAAACATTTTTAGGGCAACCAAGATTTGGTTTCCTCATTTAGGAAAGGTAAGAATGTTGTTAATAATCTTTTAATTTTTAAACAAACACTTTTTGATAAGCAGGTCAGATATGTTTGGGCCAGTGTTAAAATTATGGGGAATAAAAAAAAATGAAAAGATTTGTGGAACAGTCAGTGATCTTCTGTGTTGCATTTAGTAATAGAAAAATTACACCACTGATTACTTTCATAGATTCATTTATTTTCTACAGATTATTGACCTAATGCATGTTTATTTTATTTTATTTTTTTTTGAGATAATGATTTAGTAATACAACTCTTACTAATTAACCCATAGCTGGGGGAGAAGTGGATTCATACCTTCCCCAAGGGTATTTGTGTGTAAGTGAATATAATGAACCCAACCAAAATTGGAACACTGGTCTCCAAGTAACAATTTATCCATTACACCACCCATACATCTAAGCTTACAGCAACTGGTATTCCCAAGCAACCATGGATTTCTGTACTTGTAGTTGGGAAATTTTGCTTCATGAAGATTGTAAATAAAAAGAATGGGAGTTCAAACAAGAGATGAGGTTTCCATATTTACAAATGGTTGACGACATCTGAGTACACAAAAAAGGAAGAAAGACACAAATGGAAGCATCTCTTTCCTTCTTTCAATTGTCACTTTAAATACTTTTTCATGGTCAAAGTCACAAAATTATTTTATATCCAGAGGAACATTTGACTAGCAAAAGACACCTTCTGAAAGATAAAAAAAAGATTATGAAAAAGGAAAATGTTTTTAGTAAACAAACCAAAGACTGCTGAAAGGCTATGTAACATCATTCCTCCTCTATGATAATGAATGCTGGATAATTTCCACACAAATGAAGAGGAGACTTGAAGCAACACTGATTTTATTATACAGAAGTGTGTTGGTTGATCTATGAATGGAAAATGTAACCAAAAAGAAAGTTTGATAACTTGGACAATTATCTCCCCTACATTTTACTCTTCTGTAGTATAAGTACAATAAAGATGACTCCTTATCTGCAAACACATGCATTATCTTCCTCTGTTCATTTTACTTATTTCCACAAATCTTTTTACTCTTATTCCACTTCTAATATGACAAATGTTGAAGCTTGAATAAGCATGGAATAATAATAATACAACACAAAATGTACGTAACAAAATGTATTGAAACAATGAAAAAAAGGTACACAATATTTACAGGTAGTTTTGGTATATTCTTGGGAAGACTGTTCCTGCAGAATGGGTTGACTAAGTCGCAGTCGGGCAGAGTCTCTGGATTCGATCTCTTAATCTTCCGTCGTCTTCCGGTACCAACCCATATTTATATGGTCGGTACTCCACTTATGTAAATTAGGTGTATCATACACAACAACAAACTTAACAGGTTATGAACCCTGAATGGATAACGAAAGTCAGTGGAACAGATTATTTTTCAACAAAGATGAAACTAAATACAAAATTTGGGAAACAAAATTCTTAAGCCGTTTACGCACACTAGGTGTAAAAGATGCAATCTTCAGTGCAAATCTCAGCGTAGATGAAACAGACACAGAAAAGAATAAAGAAGCCTACACAGAGCTTATACAGTCTCTGGATGACAAAAGCCTGTTGTTAATTATGAGAGAAGCCTCAAACAGCAGAAGAAAAGCCTTAAGAATATTACATTTATGCAACTCATAGAAGTAAAGAATTCAAAAACCAACTTCAAAATTCCAAAGACACAGAAAAATATCAAGAAAAAAACTCAAGTGTTGATAATGTTATGAAGAGAACTTCTTCATGTTTGAAAACAACAGTGAATGAAACCCATGTTAGAGAAGAAATTTCATGTTTTACAGTTGGTGAAAGGGATACACAGTGAGAGTATGTCCAAAGAATTACAGAGAACATAGACACTGGTGCAACTTATGTAAGAGCAAAATCCATAAAATGGACTCTTGTTGTTATAAAAGAAGAGATACCATTAAGAAGATAACAGACATTGCAGATGCTCATTTGCATTTAAAACTAACAACTACCCACAAAAGACTGAACTACCTAAAGGAGTAATGGTCGATGCAGGGGCTACTTTACATACTGCAAAAGATATAAAGAAATTAAAAAGTATGATGACACATTTCAATCAGAAAACTCTGGCTGATGGAACAAGAACTAGCAGTGTGGCATTAAAATGGTGTGACACCGAAATATAAGTTGCAGATGGGAATCATGCGACAGTATCAATGAAAAGGGCACTGTACATACCTTCTTACATGCAGGATATATTATCTGTTAAGGCTGTGACAACAAGTGGAGTAATAGTAAATTTTAGTGAAAATAAAAATGAACTGATACATAGTAGTGTTACCAAATTTAAAATACATGTCCACAACTGCAAAGAATAATGACTGCAAAGAATAATCTAGAAGACAGATGACAAGGATCTTATGATATCCATACATGGCACCAAATACTTGATCACTGCAACTACAACAATATCTCAAAATTACCAAATGTAGTTGGGAGGATGACAATTAAAAGGGAAAACTGGTATTTCACACAAGGACTCTGATATATGTACTCCAGGAAAATTTTACCAGAGTAGAAACAGACAACATGGCATATGTGCGACATCAATTGCTGAACTGGTGTACACAGACTTAGCTTGCCTTAGAGAAATAATGGATATAAATGGATACAAATCCTATAATATTTACTGATGATTTCTTCAGTATAC